AGCATACTACCCAGACCTTAAAATATATGTTGAGGGATTGTATGACTGAATTTAAAGGGAATTGGAATGACCATATACCTCTCAGTGAGTTTGCTTACTACAATAGCTACCATTCGAGGATCCAAATGGCTCCATACGAAGCTTTTTATGGAAGAAGATGTTGATCTTCTATTGAGTGGTTCAAAGTTGGTAAAGCAGGGTTGATAGGACCAGATCTAGTTCACCAAGATTCAAGAGAGGCTAAAGACACAGAGTCGCCAAAAGTCCTACACAGATGTTAGGTTGAGGCCGTTAAAGCTTGAGGTGGAAGATTGGGTATATATTAAGGTTTGACCCATGAAGGGTGTTATGAGGTTTGGTAAAAAGGGGAAACTTAGTGCCCGGTATATTAGATGTTATAGAATATCCAAGAGATTTGTCAATATAGCATATGAGTTGGATCTAGAATAAGAGTTAGCATCCGTTCATCCGGTATATCATATTTCTATGTTGAAGAAGTGTATGGATGATCCTTCATTGATTGTGACAACTGAGAATGGGATTTTGGATAGATTATCCTATGAAGAGATTACGATTCAAATTTTGGATCGTTAAGTTCGCAAGTTGAGGACGAAGGAAGTTGCATTAGTCAAGGTCTTTTAGAGGAACCAATTTATTGTAGAAGTGACTTGGGAAGAGAGTATATGAAGAAGAGATATCCACATCTCTTTGAATCCGGAGAAAATGCAGATCAAGGTACTAATTATCTTCTTAGCACTTTATGAACTATGAGTAAGCATGATTGTTATTTGCTTTTGGATTGTTGAGTATTAAACTAGATGTTACTATTCTTAGCATGGTTAAAGAAATCTCATTCAAGGACAAATGTTCCTAAGGGGGAGATATGTAACACCTTTTAACTCGTGATAGCCAATAATAAGATAAGAAACTAAAATTAATCATTTTTGGAAAGAATAGGAAAATTCTGGAAAATTTCCCTAGTGTAAAAAAGTGAGTTTTAGCCATTTTCAAATGTCCATAACTTCTAGCTGAGGATGAGCCAGAGTCAGTTCTTCATATGGTCAGAAATCCTTCGATATATCTTTCCAACACCGTGGAATTTGTGCGTTTTTGATAGCGTATGAGGAAGATATGCCTATCGAAAGTTGTGTTTTTGGATTGATGAAGGTCCCAATCCCAATTTAATAAAGGGTAAACTTGTCATTTCACCCAACTATTTTCTAATTCATTTTAAAGGTTTATTAGGGGTAAAACTGAGCCTTAAGTCAATCTTAGAAAATTAGAATACACTCAGGGCTTGGGAGAAAAGAGAAGAGAATAAGGAGAAAGGAGAAAGGAGAAAGGAGAAAGGGCCAAGAATTCATCAAGAATGCCAAGATCTTTGAGTGGAATTCATCGGGGGTGATACCTATTAAGGTATGTGGGATATTTTCTGTTTGGTTTGATTCATCCGCTCACCAATTTGTTTCAATTAATCAATCTATTAGTTGATTTCATGTTAGAAGCTAAGTTCTTGAATAAAAGTTTTGAGTTCTAGCTTATTGAATTGTTGACTGCCATTGTTGGTGGAATTCCTATTTCTTTGGGTAATTTTGCGTTGAATTCAATAGTCATGGAGGGTACCAATAGTCCTAGTCATTTGGTGAAAGAACTAGGAAGGTTTGGAGGGGTTGGAGAAGAAAAATGAGTTGAAAAATTCGTCAGACGCACCTGAGTAGGGGCAGACGCAGAAAATTGGATACATTCAACTGAGGCCTGGCGCGGCGCGCCACCAGTGTGCTAGAATTTAGCCTCATTCAACTGGGGCTGGCGCGGAGCGTCACCATTGCCCTCGGATCGACGATTTTCACCTAGTTTTGGTAGTTTAGCCATCTTAAGTCCTTCTAAAGTATATTAAAGTCTCCCACTGATTCTAATTACTACAAATGATTTTAAACACCTATATATCACTAAAGAACTCAAATCATAACCTTTAATCCATAATTCAAGTCAAGGAATGTTAAGATCAAAGTCAAAAAAGTAAGAGTCAAGCCTAAAAGTTAAGAAACAAGTCAAAATGAGTTGTCTAAGTTTCCAAGAGTCTTTAGAAAACATTTTAACTTTGTTTTAAAGCTAAAGCTATATGTTAAGCAAAGAGTAGAGAGTTGAGTTAAATTCTCAAATAACTACGGAGGAACTAAGTATTCCTAAGATTTAAGTTACAAGTTAAGGAAAGAGTAAATAGTTGAGTTCGTTTCTCAAAAGTTATAAGGGAACTAAGTATTCCCTAAGAATTTCAAATGTTTTCATATTTTGAGAAAGCAAGGAAGCAAGACTTCCCACAGAGCCTTTGGCTAGTTTTATTAAAGAGGAAACTATGATTTCCAAGAGAGCTTTTAAAAAACTAAGTTTCAGTAAGTTACCTCAAACCAGAGAAGAATATGTTTTTTTTCAAAACATATGAGCTAAGTATTTTGAGACTAGTATTGAGAACTGATATGGGGAAGCAATTTCAGATTAACTTAAGCCCTCATAAACCATGTAGCCAACATGGACAAAAGAATGATCATACTTTTTAGATGATTCTTTAGTGGTTTTTAGCATAGACTAGTGGATCCACTTAGTAGTTCAGGTTCTATACTAATGGCAAGGTATAAGGCGGTCCTCTTGCAAGGTGAGGTAAGATGTTGTACTATCACTTAGGCTCATAGTGATGAGTTTTGGTTAGAGAATATCCTATAGAAACTATTACATAAGTAAAGTTGAGTTTGTTAATGCATTATCGTTAATGAACTAAGTTGTTTACACTTTTTACAAGTTTTAATATATAAATTGTATGTTTCTGTTTCTTTACTGTTTTATATTGAGTTAGTATCTTATGAGTTTAGCAGAGCCAATGTAAGTTCTTCTTAATCCTTTCAAGCCTTAAGTTGTTGTTAGCATGCAAACTGGCATTCAATGTACTGATGCAGTTGGCTTGCATGGTCTTATGATGTAGATGCAGGTAACCAGGATCAGCACGCAATTCCTCATTGATCCAGTTTAAGCATTTAGAGTCAATGACGAGCCTCATTGCATTCTTGAGGACACATATTTATTGTTTATCAGTCTTTCATTTTTTAGGATGTTCTGGGGCCTGTCCCAACATCAATCTCAGTATTATAGAGGCTTCATAGACAATCATACAACTAGGTCTGAGTCTCTTATTTCTGTGTTTCAAATACTTTATTATGATATTTAATTGTCATTTTGGCAATTTGGAACATGAAAAGTTTCACTTCAAGAATCAAGACATCAACACTGTCACTTGTGGCAGACCAAGCACTAGGCTATTCACCTCTAGATCTTCCCAATGATCAATACAATCATATGGAATATGAGAGGTATCAACACCCAAGGGGTGTTGGAGAGGATCAAAATGTTAAGGAAAGTCCACCATCTATCAATCATTACTATCTTGGAACCTTTTTCAGATAGTGTTCATGTGCAGAATTTCAAAGATCATTTGAACATGGATAATGCAACTAGTAACTGTAATGGCAAGATTTGGGTCTTTTGGAGCAGTGATGTGGACTGTAACATTCTTGATGAAGATGAACAACAAATCACTTGAGACATAAAACACAATGAATTGCAAGGACAGTTCATTACTACTTTTGTTTATGCAAAGTGTAAAGATTATCTGAGGAGAACTCTTTGGGACAAAATTCTTCTACAGGCTAATGAGGATACAAAATCTTGGTGTGCAGTAGGGGATTTCAATGTTATAAGAGCTGTAGAAGAAAAGTTGGGAGGGGCACCTTACAATATGAGGAAAAGCATGGACTTTATAGCAGTTATTGAAGCATGTGGCCTTGTGGGCATTGGTTTCAGTGGACATAAATTCACATGGTCCAATAAGAGACGTATTAATCATAGAATCTGGAAGAGACTTGATAGGGCTATGTTTAATGTCTCTTGGCTTGAAAGGATGCATCAAACCACCATCACCCACCTATCCTCTACTGGCTCAGATCACTGTCCTTTGTTAATGGAAATGATACCCAAAGATTCAAATCACATCAAGTACTTCAAGTTTCTCAACTGTTGGGTAGACAACCCACTTTTTATGGAAACAGTGCACACTAGTTGGGATAGAGAGGTGGAGGGTACTGACATGGGGAGATTTCATGAGAAACTGAAAAGGCTGGCCAACACTCTTAGTGTTTGGTCAAGGAAAGAGTTTTGGGATATTTTTTAGAATGTGAGAAGGTATGAGGAACAGGTGCACAAGGCAGAGAATGAGTACATTACTCATCCAAATGAAGCCAACAGAAGTGCCTTACTTGAAATCAATGCCAAATACATCAAATTCCTGAAGTTGGAGTATAGTATTTTGAAACAGACAACCCAACTTCATTGGTTCAAAGATGGTGACAAAAATTCCAAATATTTCCACCCCATTATAAGAGGAAGAAGAAGGAAATTATTTGTACACAAGTTCATCAATGAAGAAGGGGAATGGCTACATGATGAGGAGGAAATTGCTCAAACTTCTTGTACTTACTTTGAGGAGATCTTTACAGGTGAGGATAAGCTTATTAATGAAATTACCTTGGAATGCATTCCAAGGATGGTTAGCCAAGAGCAAAATAACTAACTTACCAGTCTACCCAATATGGAGGAGCTTAAAAGTTTGGTCTTTTCTATGAATCCTAACTCTGCAGCTGGTCCGAATGGCATGAATGGTTACTTTTTCCAGAAATATTGGCACATCATCAAGAAGGATTTAATGGGAGTTTTTAAGGCCTTCTTTAGTGGCCAAATGATCCCTAAGTATTTCTCTCATTCTTGTATTGTTCTGCTCCCTAAAGTTAATAATCCAAACAAATTATCTGAGTTCAGGCCTATAAGTCTGAGTAACTTCACTAGCAAGATTATTTCTAAAATAGTGAGCACCAGACTTAGCCCTATTCTCCCTTACTTGATCTCTTCCAATCGATCCGCGTTTTTTTAAAGGAAGAAGTATTTTTGAGAACATTATGCTAGCTCAGGAAATTATCCACCAAATTAAGAAACCCAATGTTGGAAGTAATGTCATCATTAAACTTGATATGGCAAAAGCATATGACAGGGTCTCTTGGTCCTACATTTGCTTGGTGCTAAGGAAAATAGGTTTTGAAGAGAGGTTCATTGATATGGCTTGGAGAATAATGGCAAACAACTGGTATTCTATCATTGTCAATGGTAATAAACATGGCATCTTTCACTCTACAAGAGGTCTCAAACAAGGTGACCCCTTATCCCCTGCCCTATTTATTTTAGGTGCAGAAGTGTTATTCAGGTCCCTTAACAGGCTACATGCTCATCCGGATTATCATGGGTTCTTCATGGAAAGGAGGGGGCCTCAAGTAAATCATTTAAGCTTTGCAGATGACATTATTCTCTTCACCTCTGGAAGGCACAAAACGTTGAAGCTTTTAATGAAAACCTTAAAGGATTATAATGAGACTTCTGGACAACTCATCAATGAAGATAAGAGTCATTTCATGCTTCATTCCAATGCATTCACCAGCACAAGAGATAGAATTAAAAGAATCACTGTCTTCAAGCAGAGACAAGGCCCCCTTACTTACCTAGGCTGCCCTTTATTTGTTGGTAGGCCTTGGATTGTTTACTTTTCTGATCTGGTTAACAAGGTTGTGTGCAGGATTATAGGATGGCAAACCAAACAACTTAGTTATGGAGGAAAAGAAGTGCTCACCAAGCATGTGCTACAGGCAATACCCATTCACTTACTATCTGCAGTAACTCCCCCAGCCTCAGTGCTTAAACAGATCCAAAGATTAATTGCAGACTTTTTTTGGGGATGGAAGAATGGGAGGAAGATATATCACTGGGCATCATGGAAGAACCTTGCCTTTCCATATGAGGAGGGGGTAGGAATGAAAAGCTTGCAAGATATTTGTAAGGCTTTCCAATTCAAACAGTGGTGGATCTTCAGAGCCAAACAAACCCTATGGGGTGATTTTTTGAAAGCTAAATATTGCCAAAGAGCCAATGTTGTCTGCGAAAAATGGGATAATAGAGGATCCGTATCATGGAAGAACATGTTACTAAATAGACAACAGGTGGAACAACATATTTAATGGAATCTGCAGGCTGGAAATTGCTCCTTCTGGTGAGATAATTGGCTTGGAAATGGCCATCTTGCATAATTCTCCAGCAATAGCAACAGATATAACAATAAAACAGTTGCTGAATTCTGGGAAAGAGGAAAATGGAACTGGAAAAAGTTGATAAAATAGGCACCCGCCAGCCAGTTCTCCAGCATTATCAGCACAGAGATTCCAGATCAGCAACACCTCCTTGATCAGCCTGTTTTCAATACTCATGGCAACATCACTTGTGCTTCTGCCTGGGAGGAGATCAGGGAAAAAAGGGAGAAAATGCACTTTAATTCATTGTTATGGAATAGTAATATTCCCTTTAAAGTTTCCTTTTTACTGTGGAGATACCTAAAAGGAAAACTCCTTACTAATGACAAACTAACTACCTTTGGCATTGAGCCATCAATTTGTTTTTGTTGTCTTGATAATGCAGGCATGGACATCATTCAACATATCTTCACCTCAGGACAATTTTCAGCCAAAGTGTGGAACTTCTTTGAAGCCACTGCAGGAATTGCACAAGGTAGTCAAACACTGCAGCAGCACCTGCAAAACTGGTGGTCAGCAAAGTCCAATAATAAAGCCCACAAACTACTTCTACAGGCCACCCCAATCCTTATTTGCTGGAGCTTATGGAAAAACAGATGTTCAGTCAAATATGGGGGCAAAACAACTAATATCAGTTGGGTAAAATATGCAGTGTACAAGGACACCTACAAGATGCTAAGCACAACATTCAACCACATCAGATGGCCAGCCAAGTGGATTGAATTGATCCAAAAATATGAAGGATGTATCCAAGACACCAAAGTGAGTGTGGTAGCTTGGAACAAACCTACAAATAAGTGGATCAAAATCAACACTGATGTAATGGTCTTGATAATCCGGGAAGAATTGGGGCTGGAGGCATATTGAGGGATAAAATGGCCAATTTTTTATGGCATTTGTAGCAGCACTTGGAACAAGAACAAATAACAAGGCAGAGATGGAAGCAGCAATTTTTGGGTTGACTTGGGCATTGGAGCTGGGATACAGAAACATAGTGCAGGAGCTGGATTCTCAGCTGGTGGTAAAATGGATAAATCAACAGGCTTCCCCTTAATGTAATCTCCTAGCTCAGCTTGACAGGATTAAAAATTTAATCATCCAAACCCAGAAGTTCAAGTGCAGTCATGTCTACAGAGAGGCAAACTGGGTGGCTGATGCACTGTCCAAACACAGCCACCAAACTGGCAGTCCACAAGTATACTTCTGCCAACATCAACTACCCAAGACAGCAAGAGCATATTATCAAATGGACTTAATGGAATTGCCAAATTTTAGGAGGAAGAAAACTAAGAAAGTTAAAGAACCTGCATGACTTCATCTTTTCAACTTAGCTATAATTCAAGGAATTATAGCTTCTTTGAATAGGTAATATTGCATAGGTTTGTAGTTTTATTTTGAAAATGTAAAGGGAGAGTCTCCCTTGTTTATGTTTCATAGATGTTATGTAAGGAGATGAGTCCTCTCTGATAAGTACTTAGTGATTTTGATTCATCTTATTGTAAGGGGAGAATTTGAATTCCATTTTTGGGAAGTCGAATTCAATCCATCAAATTATGGAGGTTAGGTTTTATGTCGCTCTCCTTGTATTTTGCTTTTGTTATCAATAATAAAGCCTGGGGGTGTTGCTCAGCCCCTGACCTACCTCAAGGGTCGTTTTTGTTTTAAAAAAGTGTCATTTTGGCTAGACTATTATGTTTTAATTACTTTTATTGAGAACGTTTCTTAATTCATAATTTAGTTAAGTCTAGTCTTCCGCTGAGTTAAGTAAACCAGACCAAGGGTTCGCTCATGACCAGAAATAGTCATTGAATGTCGGCTACGTCTAGGGTGTAGGCTCGGGGCGAGACAAAATTTCTCTTGTACCTGGAGACCGTTGAACCTAGGTCTTTGATACTCACGATCCGAATTTCACATGTCGTGATGACACCTATGTTTCCAATTAATAGGGAAGTCAATCCACTAGTTTTCCAAATTAAAATTAATTAATAATTAAGGTTAAACAATAAATGATAAGTATAACATCTCAAACACTAAGTCTTTCATAAGTATGAAATGCAGAAAGCTAAAATACAACAAAAAAATTTGGTGTCATAAGTACAAGAACTTCTAAATTACGCTGCAAATCTGAAACTAAATAACATATCTAAATGTAAGAAATATCTTGTCTGGATATTGAAAAAAAAAAATAACGGAAAGGGGACTAAAATACCCTTGAAGTATTGAAAATTGTACACAACTACCCATCATCCACCTGTCGGCTCTAAAATACCCTCCCCATTCACCTATGGCTCACAAATACCCTCATCATACACCTTTAGGTCAAACTTTAGACACTTCAGTAATGGAGCAACATTTAAAATAATTAAATAATCATTTTAATTACGTGGCGCTCAACCATTGGTTGAAATATAATTATTGAATATAATTTTAATCCACTCATTACCCACCCATTTTTAACTAAACCCCCAGACCCAATATAAAAAGAACCCAATATAATTATAATTAGTTGGCTCCTCTTTAAATTTGTACAATTTCGTTGGAAGGACATCTGAATAAATTGTTGTTAGCCTCTCATTTGTATAAATCCTTGTTAGCCTCTCAATTCAATTGTATGCATTTGTATATCTTATAAAATTTGAAAATTTTATACAACTGAATCGAATTGTGTAAAATGAGAAAGAGAGAAATTATACACAACTTGAATTAGTATAAAATGAGAAAGAGAGAAAAGCAAAAGAGACTTGGGCAGGAAATATACAATTGAATCGAATTGCATAAGACGATGAAGAGAGAAACTATATACTACTACATTGCATACAACGAGCCATTGCGAATAGATAATGCAGAAGGACTAAGTTTCTCTCTGGTTATTTTCTTCTCTATTTTTGTAGCCTGCATCAGTGTTTTACTGGAAATTATTTGCTTTGGAATACAAATAAATTAAATGGTAGCTATTATATTTATTATACAGTATTAGTTTGTCATTCTATACAATTATCCCTTAAAAAACCTAAAGCCTTGTTCCCAAATAAACACTCCATTTCCCTCAACTTATTTCTATTTTCTTCCTAGATTTAGAATATTAGTGTTGTTTTTCTTCAATTTTTAATAAATGTCATTTATAACAAATTGAAGAAATCGAAGAAGAAGCTGACATTTATAACAAGGGAAACCACTAACTAAAGTGTACATTTTGTTTGATATTTTTTTTAATTTTGTTTAATTGACAAGGTAATCCAAGATTTTTCCCTGTAATGTGTTCTCATTTATTATGGAAAGTGACCAGTGAAAATATAAAATAAATGAACAAAATAATCACTCCCTTATTGTTCATTACAATGCAGATAGAGTAATTCTACGCTTTGTAAAAAAAGTATTGAAATTTCTTAAAATATATTGTGGTTCGATTTACCATACTAAAAGATAAAGTTATTTCGACGAATCACAAAGGTAGAGCGTGAGTACTGCAGATCATCTTATGGCTAATACATGATTAAAAAACTACCATCCATCTTTCAAAGACAACAACTGATCTTTTAACTTGAAAGAAAATGTTTGCAAACGGTACTAGTAGAGACGTCCAGGTATAACTCTAAACCTACCAAGAAAAATTAAAATATGTTGGGGAAATGGAGTATTTATTTTGGAACAAGGTTTTAGGGTTTGTTTTGATTACATAGGTTCTTTTTGTATTGAGTCGGGTGGGTTTAATAAGTGTTGGGGCGGGTGTAGTTAAAATGGGTGGATTTAAAATTATATTAAATAATTTATTCACAATCAATGGTTGAGCGTCACGTAGCTAAAATGATTATTTAATTATTTTAAATGATGCTCCATTAATGATGTGGCTAAAATTGAACCCAAAGGTGGATGATGAGGGTATTTGTGAGCCAATAGGTGTAGGGGCAGGGTACTTTGGAGCAAATAGGTGGATGAGAAATAGTTGTGTACCATTTTCAATACTTCGAGAGTATTTTAGGCTCTTTTCCAAATAAATAATAAGATAGAGGGAGGTGTGGGTTGCGGAACAGCCAAACAGCTCACCAAAAAGAATTCTCCCAAATAATGGGCTCCTATTTGGAATTTGATCTTCACCACAAAAAAGGTGCAACAAGTGTAGTATGGGTACGAAACCAGGTTTATGTGTTATGTGTCAAAGATTTGCAGTAAAAAAGTACCGACATAAATGCAAGTCTACATTATGCTTATTAGTCAAATTTCATGAAACATGGATAATCAAATATCACACAATATCTAACCACCAATATGACAATAATAAAAAAAAATGAAGAACGTAATGAGACTTAATGTATTGCGACACCATGAAATGATTATGCCTCAACTGTGATGTATTTCTTAGCTGTATATACATGATACTTTTCAAAAGTACATCGAAAGTTCATGACCCATGGGGGAATCGCGAGGTCTATATACTGATAAAGAGGATCTTCACGTGTCTGTATGGACAATCTCATCGCACTAACGTCAAACAATCCCAACATAGACGATATCATCGTGTCTATGTGCACGATCTCAATGCACTATCATAAAATCAAAGAATCCCTATATGAATGATATCGACGTACCAACTTATACTCAATCTCATGTCAATGTATGTGCACAATATGATTTCAATCAAAAAGGATGATGATGCATCTCAATCAATCAATTATCGGTATAATATATAATCACCTCAATTATCACAAATATATGGGTTCAATAAAGTTACACATCCACACACAAAAAAATCAAGTCAATTATACATTTGTTAATGCCTACATGCTTTGGCATTCACGGATTGCAATCCTCATTCTATAATAATATTTTTTCCTTTGTAACAATAGTACTCATACCAATTATCATTACATTATTGATATGAAACCCCCATCTTTCATCCTTACACATTCTTTATTTTCATTTTTAAAATTTTAATTAGGAAAATGTCCTTTAACAAAGTCTGGAAGTCTTAACATACCTTGAATGTCAAATAAGTGTCACAAATCCTCACGATTTTGCTTTTCCTTTTCGTAAGGCTTCATAATGTTCCCAATCTTTCAACTATGTAATACTCGTAAGCAAACA